TTTAAATAAAAGAATCGAATCGAATCGAATCGAATCGTTTAAATTCGATTCTAAATAGAATCGTTCGGATCCTTAGCCTTACCTTTCCTAATCTGACCTAGCAATACATGCGAGGGGTTACAATTTATGGGAGCATGCAGTTAACCATCGCAAGTGTACCTCTTAGGATAAAACATCCCATGATACAAGCAACCTCCTACAATCCCAACCGGATCCTCGCTACCAACGGACATGTGAAACTCTTACTAATAGTTGTGCGACTAATGGTTTTAGTCATCTGTACCTTTCTTTCCACTACTGGAAAGATCTCATGAAACTTCTTCCCCTTTTTGGAGGTATTTCCCGGGCAATACTTGATCAGAAAGTTTTACCAATCAGATTATCTATCTTTTGACCTATGGGGTGTAGTCTACCCATAAGGCTCCTTGATCGCCGGAACAACCCAAATTGCTCTCTATCACGAGTTATAGGAGCAGTAACACAAAGTCTCATTTTTGGGATATGTGAATTGCCCCCAGCTAGGGTTGAACTGTAGTTCATAGGTTAGCCCTACCCTGCCTTAGCCCACTGGACTATGACCGGGTAGGTCATAATTTAACTTGATTTTTTCAAATAAATTTAATCAATTGAATATAATATAAATTGAGAATCAAATAATTAATTATAAGAGTAATAAGTTTTATAACCAGATAAATTTAAACATTGGATCTTTTTTAATATTCTATAAAATATTACTATTGTACTATAGTTTTATAGATCTTTATTTTATTTTATTTTAAAAAAAAATAAAAAAATTTTTTCAAGTGATTAAATAACCAAAATTCTTTAGGTAACTAGATGCCATTCAAGGCATGATATAGGTTTTAAATTTTATTTTTTTATATTTTTGAATGATGCTAAGGAACTTAGGTGAAAGGGTCACATTTGATAATCCTAGCATTTAACTCTTCCTGACAAAGAGAGATGTATATCATGTTATGAATTTATAAATCTTGTAACTGCAAGTCTAAAAATATAAATAAAAATAAAATATGAAGACTGCCTATTCCTTCAAAAAAAAAATAATAATAAAATTTTCATATATCTAGTTTATATTGTTTAAAAGATTATTTAAAACATATAAACTTGTAATTATCTAAACCCTTTGTTATAAGTTTATATCAATTCTGATTTCTTTTTTAAACATGCAAAATCGTAGTTATTATATTTTACCAAATATTTTATCTATTAGAAAGGATCTTCACGTTAAATCGTCAGCTATGTTATTGAAATATTCAACTTTCAAGCCCAGCCGTTTCTTGCTGAAAACGCGCACATTCTTCACTAAATCCAAATGTTATCATGATCACAAACATGATGCCCAGGCAAATAGTCAAGAACTTATATCTTCTTGGAAATCTCACGTGTCAAACATAGTAGTCACACGTCACGATACATTAGTCGCGACACCGCTTCAACTGCTGGCCTTAACATTAAACCGTGAGACCATAGTCGATAATGTCTCCTCAACTGAAACTCCACCTGTGGGAACTCCTATCCCACCGAACTATCATCTAGCATATTTTTTACCAAAAAATTTTGAAAAGGAGCTAGCGTCCGATGGGTATGGAACTCATTATTCTCCGCCACCGCCTTTCTTAAGGCGTATGTGGGCAGGTGGCGAAATATCATTGGATTCTAATAATCCTTTATTGGTTGGACAGAATGTTACCATGACCACGAAGGTTCGCAATGTGGAATTTAAAATAGGCAGTTCGGGAGAGAATGTGTTTGTCTGGCTTGATAAAGAAATTCATAATGAGAAAGGTTGGAGTGTGAGAGATACCAGATGCCTAGCTTACATGAAAGATAGTAAACGTTTGGGAAAAGTCATAAGATGCAAGTATTTGTCCCCTTGGAATACATGATTCCATCATTCCCTTCATTGTGTTGATAATGTTCAATTCTCATCATAGCAAACAAGATACCAGATTTTGAAAAAATCGTGCTTCCGAGTGAAGTTCTGTTGTTTCGTTTTTCAGCTTTGACATTCAACAGTCACCGTATACATTATGATCACCTCTATTCAACTAAAGTGGAAGGATATCCTAGTAAGTCTGATCATTGCAAACTCATTCATTATCGATTACCTAAATTAAACACGCTCTTTTCAATGTACAGGATGTTTGGTTCACGGTCCCCTCACCTGCACTCTTCTCATGGATCTAGTTCGAGACAACTTGCCAAGTAATAAATTACACATAAAGTCTTTTTCATATAGGGCACTCAGTCCTTTGTACGTGGGCGAAGAATTTAAAATATGTGGGAAAAAGAGTGACACATCTGATATGTCTTTTGAAGTATGGGCTGAAAATAAAGAAGGCGGTGTAGCCATGAGAGGAACCGCAATTTATGGATAGCTTTATCTGATGACATCTAATTATTTGAATTTTTTTTATTACAATAATGTATTTATTTTGTAATTACATCAGAACAAATATTTATAAAATTTTGATGTCCGTGTTTCATTGCAAGTCTGTTTCCCGATTTCTCCAGGATGGGTATATATAATAAAGTCAACGGAATCAACAATTCCAAGAAACCATAAACCCACAGGTCAATTGAATTCTCAATCCCGTGATGATCAACTTACTCGTTTCCCTTGAAACATTTTGTGCGCTCACCACTGTCTCCTTTTGATCAGCGGTGACTATAACTTTTTTTCCATTATCAGGATCATCAATACCTAGGACGGTGATTTCATCCACAAAAGCTCCTTGACCCTTATATCTGAAAGTTCCATCGACTTTCAGTAGACCATTTTGCACAACGCACGTGACTAATGTGTAATTGTCGCCCACTCGATTATACGGAGTCTCACCATCATCGAGGTACAAATCTCCTTTGGCCTCACCTTCTCGATCAAGAGCGATTAGCAATTTGATTCCGTTCTTTCTACATTCGTAAGAGGTTAATCCGATGTGGGAGTGCATTGGAATGATCTTTCCACCACGAACATGCACAGGAATGATTTCCAGAGGTGCGTCAATTTCAACCCATTGACCATGACCTTCATGGAATTTCGTACCGGACAAATAGTCGTACCATCTTCCTGATGGAATGTATCCTTTAACTTTGGTGCACTTGCTTTCGGTCACCGGACTCACTAACAGTCCATCACCGACCAAAAATTGTCGGTCAATATCCCATGTATCCTCAACTTCAGGATTAATAAACCACAAAGGTTCAATGACCGGTGTTCCTTTCTTAGCAGCGTGATAAAAGTTCGTATACCAATATGGTAACAAATGATATCTAACTTCCAACCATACTTTTGAAATTTGCTTCACTTTCTCCGTCATGTAGCATTCCTGGCCTGGCATGTTGATCGCGTTGTGATTTCGACAGAAAGGATAGAAGCTCCCTAATTGAAACCATCTTATTGCAAGCTCTTCGTTGCACCTCCCGTTAAATCCGCATATATCTGCACCGGTCATGGGGATGACAAAAAGTTGAAAGGCTAGCATGCCCGCAATTGAATAAGTCAAATCAGTCCATTCTGACCAATTATCTCCTAACCAATGGGCTGCGTATTTCCCGCTACTTGGAAAGGTGGACCGAGATAAAATGAAAACTCGCTGATCTGGATTAATTGAACTTAGTGCACGGTGCGTTGCTATTGCTTCCATGTGTCCAAATAGATTGTGGGCATCATACTCGGTAATACCAGAATGATGAATGGCGTCCATAGGGGAGGTATGTGTGAACAATGCTAATTCCTTGCCACCATTGTTGATAGCGTAGGGAGGATTATTGATAGAAGGTTCCAGATCAATGACCGTGGTACTGGTCGTTGATGTATTTGTGGTGGTTGTGGTCACCACAACTATTTCCTCTTTTTGCTTGTCTCCTTGCCTGAAGAAGGTGACAAATTCCTTTATCTTTTTAATGAAACTTACTTCTTCGACAACGGTTTGATTACTATCCTGTTGAATCTTGGGTACGAATATTTTATCATCTCGACGACTTTTATTAGCCTCATGAGATAAATCGCCATCAATAAAATTTGCAATCTCATTCATATCTATAAATTACATCAGAAAGCATGGTAAGCAAAGGACACACAAATTCAAAACCAATGATCCTAACTCCCTCACCTATCCATAGCCCATCAATCGGAACTTGAGAAAGCCAACGACGAATAGTTTCCGTCCAATACTCTTGCGTTTTCGGATGAAACCAATCGGGAAAGACGGTCGTGCCGGGCCAAACCTTACCGACAAAATTCTCACCGTCAGCCCTTTTTATGAATAAATTCTTTTCGAATCCTTCATCGTATGGCCTAAACCCTTTTTCGATTTTAATGCCAGGGTCAAGGATGACCACAAGTTTTTGGTGGCGTTCATGAAGTTTCCTAACAAATTCGGCAAACTTTTCGGGGGGAAATCGTGTTGGAGAATAGGTAAAGGGCTTGTAAAGATCCATGTAGTCGATATCGATCCACGCCACATCCATTGGAATACTTTCCGCCTGGTAGCGATTCACCATTTCCTCCAATTTTTGAATAGTGTCATATCCCCACCGACACTGATGATATCCAAGTGACCTATGATTCCGAACGTTAACATTGTAGAGAATGTGTTTCACCTTCAACAGACTTATTGCACACCGAAAGCAGAAGACAAACCATTTTTTCTTACCAATAGGGAATGAAGTAAGGACGCCCGATCAATTCAGAATATTGCTCAATCACATCGATAGGTGTTGGACCCAAAAATATGTACAAATCGAGGATTCCGCCGATGACCTTGTATGTCAATCTTTCTTCCTCGTAAATTATGTCTATTCCATTTGAATTTAGAAGAAACTGTATATTCGTTAAAAGCGGAATCGTGGCAATAGTAAACGGAAATCTTAAGATGACATAAATATAGTGCGAAACTTACAACTCCATGTGCTTTCCCATTTCGTAATTCGAGATAAAAAGGATGGGAACCGTATAGATTTTCTCCCTCGGGACACGGTGCATCTGTATGTAAGAAATATATGAAGTTATTAATCTTGAACAAACAAAAAGTGATAAGGGAATAAAGGTGTTATTTAATTAGTCAATTAGTTAGGTGGAATGCACAACGTTAAACGTGAACCATCATTCAACTAATGAGTGAAAGGAGAGATAGACACAGGATGAACTTACCTCTTGCCCACATTGTCATTCTTTTTCCCGGTTGTCGTTTCAATCGTCCGGTCGTTTCTCCGAATCCGTAAATATTTGAATTAGAAGGTAATTTGGTGGAAAACTCGATATATTGATCTTTGAATATAAGTCTTTCGTTGACGGTGTCGAAGATTCTATCACCGTCGGCCTTTCTCGTGACGTAAAATCCAAATGGATTCTGTTCGAAGCCGAATTCATATTTCAGGTCATCCGCACTCATTTTAATCTTGTCGACCGAAACCACGTCTTCCGGGACGCGCCAACGTTTTTCTGCAGGATCCGAAATGCAAATTCGAAGTCGGTTCGATGTTTGATATTCAACGAAAATCGAGAGATCCCTAAGGTCTGCTCCAAAGGCCGGAATCAAATCGACGTGTTCCTGTGAGAGGACTAATCTTCCTTTAAAGGTAGAGGGTGATTTCATAACGTCTTTCAAGTTATAACCATCCTGAGCAGCAAAAACGTTTTCCTCGGGAGATGTGCTTTAAAATAAGAGATTTTAAGATATGAGTTGCATTTAGTATTAACGAATTGAGAAGTAGGGTTAAACTTACTGTAGAGACATGGTGCAGACAATAGGTATATGAATGAACTCCACATTTTGATGGATTTTTTTTAGGTCCGTATTTATAATAATTTTGCGAGTAACGTTAATTTCCTGCTTGAATGCAGGATCGACTAAAATTGTTCAACAATCAACGAATCATTAACCATTCTAGAAATACATGGCTCATTATTTTAAGCGCCGATACGAATGAACCCATATCCAGATAACACGTCACGCATTCCAGGTTATTATTATGTCTTCACTGACGTTTGCTCAATTGAAAAGGAATGCTGCTGACCTGCCTGCGGGAAACTACACGGTAAAGCAATGGTTAAACTCAGTGCGGAAGCTGCTAGACGAGGTATGCCATTCGCATTTTGCTTTGTATTGTGACCAAAAAGAGACCTTGAAGTGTATCAGAATACCAGGTTCATCATTGTACTTGCAATAACAGGCGAAATCTGCTAAGAAAAGGGGTGATCCTGAAACCGTCTACGTATGTGGTGTAAGAGCATCTACGTAAGGTTTGAGTTTTAACTGTGCACAACTTGTTTACGCGTTAAACGCAAATCTTCAGATTACCTTTTTTGAACTAACATGTCTACTGCTTTCGCTTGAAAAAGTATTATACTAAAGACCTTACCGAACCACGTGGGTCTAGAGGAGGCTCTCAAGGATACGATTATTAAAACAAATTACCAAAAGCTTAAGGATGTGAGTTAATCAAGTTATTTCACACCGATTCGCATTCTCGTTTCAAAACTTAATGATCCATGTCATGTAGGAAGTCAAGGACATTTTAACCGAAGCAGAAAATGCGGCAAAGATATTGCAAGGGAAGGAAGACGAAAGAAATAGATCGGAAGCGAAAGTTCAAACCGAGAATATGCAAATGCCACAACCGATATCGTCACCTTCATCCCAAATTCCACAGAACGACATCGCTGTTGATCAAAAATTGGAATCACCACCGAATCCTGAATTGTCTCGCTCTCCCGTTTACATAGTAGGAGGTAACATGATTGGCAATGTGACATCGACTTCGGATCCAAATGTTCCCGTCGCGATACCGTTAGCCGAGAGGCTAAAGGCTCTTCATAACAATGGATTCAAGAAAGATTTCATAACAAAGAATCTCAATATTCATGGCAATACGAATTATACATCGGATTCTACATCTCATATGCAAATGCCCACACCCGTACCCACACCTGCAACCACGCGTGCACCCATTGCTGCTTCGTCATCCGACCCTATCCCGCCGAAATCACCAGCCCTCCAAAGCTCTCCGTTAAAAGATTTTCCCCCGTGCGAAGCGATACAGGCCAATCAATTGCGCAAATTTTTGGACATGAGAGAGGACCCTCCATCCATTTTGGTGCTTGATGTTAGGAATAGAGCGGAGTTTGACAAAGGTCACATCAAAACGAAGAACATTGTTTGCTTGGAGCCATTTCTCCTGAAAGATGGGTAAGTTGCTTTTTTATAATTCATTCTAGTCTGAGTGAGAAAAGAAACTTTAATAAAATATGTGCAATCCTGCTCACATCCTCGATAACAGTATTTCCTCCATAGACATTGAAGCAAGGTTGTCGCTCTCTCCCAAACATGAAAGGGACCTTTTTTCCAATCGCCATGCGTTTGATTTGATTGTATATCACGATCAAGATTCTGTCTGTCTAAACAAGTCGATATATAATGGCAACGTGATGCATAATTTATTTAAAGCAATCACTGAAACAGAATTTAAGAAGCGATTGCCTAGAGAGCCGGTATTACTTAACGGTGGATTTAAGGCATGGGTTCGATTAGTGGGTAATAATGGAATTGAATGCAATGACAGTGAGCAAGTTGATGAAAGTGACCTTGGTGGATCGGGTGTCAATATTCCGACAAGGGACAGAAAAATCGAGGATGGGGACCGATCGAAACGAAGTGGACTCGTAATTTCGGATGAGAGCTCAGCTTGGATTGATTCCTTTGGTGATTTGAGGTATTTGCTCATACAGTAGTTGCGTGTTCAAGCATTTTATCATAAGATAATTTATTTAGTTGTATTAACTTTGTTTTCACTTTTAAGAATATCGACGTCTCCTCAACGACAAGAAGATATTTTTAATAAGATAAATAATAACGAGGTCATCAGTCTCGGCAGATCTTCATACATTACAAGTTACATGGATTTTGTGAGTTTGAAGATGAATTGCGTTATTCAAGTTTTTATTAGAGGTTTTAATAATTGTCACTTTGTTCTGTTAGTACTCACAACTTAGCAACTCACAAGTGCAATCTATGACCGGATCAAATTACGCGAACACTAATAATTATTCCTCGGCAGGCGTTGCAACAAGACCCGTGGGCCCTCCAAACAAGCCATTACCGCAAAAACCTTCACAGAAATCATCAGTTGATTCATCGTCGAGCGCGTCACCCAATTCTAATGAAAAATCAAACACCAACTCATCAGGGACGTCCTTAAAACGTCGTCTCACTATTTTTGATCATCCATATCATGGTTTTAGTGTGGTGGAAAATCCAGAATTTCTCCCATTATCTCAACAAGCACAAATACCACCACCACCAAAACCAAAAAGACCGTTGCCACAGACACCAATTCCAAAATCCGATGATAAGACTGTGACCAATGAAGTCATTGAAATGCCATCACCTCAACAGACCACCGGTGGCACACAGGACACACATATGGCCATGAGTTATCGTCCCGAGCAAATCCACCATGCTTCGGAGAACAGCTTCTCGCAACTGGGTTACGGAATTGGCTCGACCGGGTTAAAGAATCTGGGAAATACCTGTTTCATGAATTCTGTTATTCAATGTTTGAGCGGTACGGTTCCATTTGCCAGGTATTTTCTGGATGGTAGTTACAAACGACACATAAACAAGGACAATCCTTTCGGAACCAAAGGTGTTTTGACCGAAGCATTTGCAACATTGATTCGAGCGATGTGGAGTGAAAATTATACGTTCGTTTCACCAGTAACATTCAAAGATGCCATCGGTCGTTTCGCCCCACAATTTTCAGGATCAGATCAACACGATTCACAAGAGTTTCTTGCGTTCTTGCTAGACGGTCTGCACGAAGACCTAAACATTATCAAACAAAAACCAAAGATCAAAGAGTTAACACCAAAAGAAGAAGAGCAAATGGAATTGTTAGAACCTCATGTTGCTTCTGGAATAGAGTGGGAGAAATATTTGATGCGAGATAGTTCGGTGGTAGTCAGTTTATTTCAAGGTCAATTCCGTAACCGATTGACGTGCATGATATGTCAAAGAACATCCACCACATATAATGCATTTATGTATTTGTCATTGCCCATTCCTCAGAAATACAAAGGAGAACGCATTGACCTAGAGACATGCTTGAAACATTTCGTCAAAGAGGAGGTCATGGAAGGAAATGATGCATGGCATTGTCCTCGGTGCAATTGCCGTAGGCGAGCTACCAAACAACTTACTATTTCTCGGCTGCCAGATGTCTTGCTGATACACCTAAAAAGATTTTCGTTCGATGGTCCCTTTAGGAATAAACTTGAGACCATGGTAGATTTTCCCCTACGCAATTTGGATTTGACCACGTACGTTCCAGCTCAAATGTCACAACCCACTTCCACCGACAGTTATCAGTGGAAGAGTGATATTCCTGGAATAGGTAACATACGACAAACAGGACCATTTGTGTATGATCTGTATGCAGTTTCAAATCATTACGGTGGATTGAACGGAGGACATTATACCGCGTGTGTACGAAACGGGTATAGACATGAATGGCGCAACTTTGATGATAGCCGTGTTTCTATGTGTGACATGCAAGATGTTAAGGTATTTTTTTGAATTCTCGATCTTGATCTCTGATTACAGCACAAACAATGAACTGACATTTTTAACCTTTTGCATAGTCTCGTGCTGCATACAGTTTATTTTATGTAAGGAGCAGCATCAAATAATGAAGTACATCTACTCATATTCTTCAAGGTATCTTAATATTGTATTGGTCATGGTGTGATGTGAATAACATCATCGCTATTTTTCGTTATGCTTTCTTGATCATAGATCTACATCATATAGCTTACTCGACAAATGTACATTATATTTATTTATTTGTTTGTTTATTCAGTCTTAAAAAAGTCACGATGAACTTAAAATTAAAAAATTCAAGATAGTTTTCTGCTTTATTAAAATCTCTGTTTCATTCTGGATGAAATAATTTTTAGATTAGCGTAGACTTTACCAGGTGGACTACCTAATATTAACGATCCGATTGCGTCCTTGGCAATTTTAATATTTTGAAACGATCCGAGTATGTGTATTGACCTTTCACCAAAGAAAGACAATGATTAATCATATAATAGAATAATGATATGTGAGAAAAAGTATAAGAATTTTCCTACGTGTCTGCCAAAACAATTCTAGTTTTCGAAGCATTTTCGATGGCAAATTTTACAGCGCCATTTTTACCAGCAATTCGGCCGATGGCACGCGACAGATGATCACCTTCTAAAACTTTGACTGTAAATTACGTAAAGCAATGTTAAACTCCAAGGAGAAAAAGAAAAGAAGAAAACTTGTGTTAATTACCATCTTTGATATCAAATGAGTCAATGTAAAGGTCATCTACACGTAACATGGCTATCGCGTCCTATAATCAAATTCGATGAGAATAAAGAGAATTTGTGGTTGAATAATAAAAAACGAATAAATTCGACATACGTCAACATTAAAGCCAAGCATGAAAGCGTGTACAAAATCGGCAGCCTTTTGAAGAGAACTCGAGTCACTTGTATATTTTGATGTCTGAAACATTGCGCAAACAATGAATAAATAATTAATCTATAAACCCATGACACAAATAATCAATTTAAATGATTTGATCATATTTACTTTCAATTCTACACGATTCGATTTAGTGTTCATTCGGACTTGCAGATTTAAATGGTTCACGAGCGGTTCGTATATTTTCTTCCATTCTTTCTTTAAGGGTGTAAATCTATTCCTCGGAACCAATATCTTCCGTATTTGTGATGGACCATTCTAGGCAGAAATTCATTTGAAATTTAGTCAGCCAAGGAATGCTTATTAAGAAAGAACCTGAATTTCAGTTTATAGGCAAAAGAAGGACGAGAGATTCACATTTAATTCGAAACCTGTAGCGGGGCGAAATTTTGGCTTTTTGGAATCGGCGGCGCCGCTGTAATCGCTATCAACTAACATGTCCTCTGCTCCTTTCTCTTCTTTTGTTTGATCCGCCAATTCATTATTTGACATTGTGTATAAAATTGAAGATCGCAAAAAAAAAAACCCCCCCGATCGAAATTTTGTAATATTGCACGTGAATTCATACTGGTGTGATTTTATGCAAAAAAAAAATTTTTTTTCCAAACATAATAATTTTATTAAAACTTTATCTTATATATGGCTACTCGTTTTCTCGCAAGACATCCCACGAACTTTGTAGTTCGTAAATCTGCCGGTACTATTCGCAATTATGCAGCCACTGTGGCTTCGGAGGGTAAATCCGAATTTGTAGCTAAACGCGAAGCCGTCGAGGAGCACGCAAAGGGTAACTAATAATTGTCCGTTTGAAGATGTTTGTTTTAATTTTTTCAAAATTATTATTTCTTTTTTTTTTATTAAAAAAAAAAAAAGACCATGGAGTTCCATTGAGTAACACTACTTTATATTTTTGAACAACAGGTACAGAAAAGTTATGGAAAAATATTTGCATCTATGTTTGCGTACCCGCCCTTGTCCTTTCTGCCGGAAATTCTTACCGACTCGAGCAACAACATAAGGAACATAAGGAACACAAAGGGGCACACTCGACATCCGAACGTCCTCCATACCAATACCAGCGAATCAGAAACAAAGTAAGTCCACCTAATGACTTCCTCATGCAAGTGATTCTCGACAGCTGGAAAACCCGTTGACAATAATGCGATATTTGGGAATTTCCACTCGAGAAATACATGTGGTCGAATCATAAATGTCACTTAACAAATATTTATTAATCTTGTCACTTCCTATTCCTAGCCTTTCCCATGGGGTGATGGCGATAAGACTCTTTTCCATAACCCGGAGATTAATCACTAGAAGATTCATGTAATAACCCTTAATTCGTTCTAGATCATGTCTCTACGAGATTGCAACTTTGAATGATCGAATTAACAATTATTAAACTTGACCACTACTTTCGATCTAAGAATTTTTTATATTATTGAACTTCCACGTATCGCGACCCATCGAAAAAAAGAACAAATGTCTATTTCCCCAACTAATATCATTAGTGTGCTCTACTGATTTTCGTGTGCTTCTAACCTTCTGGCGGCCTGCTCGTCAATTTCTTTCACATCAAAGTTTTGCCTTGCCCTCTTGATTTCCTGTTCCATGTGCAATAATTCTTCAACACGAGCCAGTTTTTTCGGATCGTTTCTTAGTATAAACTTAAAGTCTTCGACATTGACCTTTCGTTCTTTGGCTATGTCCGTAGCTTTGTGACACTATTGAATACATCAAAAGAAAAATTTAAATGACTTGGCGTCATTAAATATTCCATGTTTTACGCAACACCTCGTTAATCATATGTACCTCGACTAATAAAAACTCTTATCGTTCCATGCGCATGCAATGTACGTATTAAAAAGAAATTACCATTTCGGTTATGTAGTCGACGACCAACTCTTCCATTACGTTTATCGAATCCGGGGCTGGATTTGGTTCATCCCCAAACCCGTACATCAAGAGTCGTACTTTACATCATCGCAAAAAAAAAGTGTTGAATACAAAGATCCGACAAACGTAGTTGTTATTATTTATCTGATCTGACTCACTGTCTTTTGTGAACAGGCCTTTGTTCCCTGTTTTGGGGGGGCGACCTCTGGGTTTATTTGGATCGGCCATATAACAAACGCGATACAAGTGGGTTTACGAAAAATTCTGCAGGTCGGTGCTATATATACACTCTAATGTCACGTGATCACAAATTTATAAAACATAGTCGTATGAAAGATGTCCAAGAAAGAAGACATTCAATTTAATAGTTTTTTCTTAGAAGACGCTATTCTCTTATCACAAGCTTTCATTAATTATGTATTTATTATCTTCTTTTTTTTTTTTTCTCGCCACCACCTCACTTCTACCGAATGAGCAACCCAGAATCTATCCTTTTTACACTCTCTTTCTCAACATTTTTTGTCCTCTCACTTTTATCACGGCTCTGGAATACTCTCCAAAACTTCAAATTTTCATCGCTCGCAGCCGTCGCCACTACCTGCCCGTCAGGGCTAATCGCCGAATGCAGAACACGAGTCTCGTGAGCCTGGATGTCGACGATTTTCTTAAGAGAGGGATAAGACCACATTGATAGATGGTGATCCGGGAAGCCGTGGGAGGATAATAGCTCTTTGTAGTCCTTGGACCAGATGATCGAGGTTACCTGAGATCCCGTATCGATTGACTTATAATGAGCAGCCGTGTTCGTATTCCAGAAATGAATGCGACAATCATACGAGCCACCGCCTGTGGCGAGGAGATTATTTTGCCACGGACACCACGCAATGGCCTTAACATGATGATGTATCCAAATGAAAACGATTCAATTTATGAAGATACGCGATCACAAAATCATATTCTTAAATGGTTACCTTAACTGCGGCTGTATGATTTGTTTTTGTGAATTTCGGAATGCTAGATCTGGCATCCCATATATTCATCCGGTTATCATTGCCACCGCTTGCTAGCTGTTCTCCGTCATGACGCCATTTTAGGCCGCAAACTTCGCCAGAATGATCGAGCATTTCTGATACTCGATGTTGTGCGACTCTAGTATCATGATTCCAAATGCTACCATCTCGGCATCCTGAAGAAACAATGTATTTGTTCCACGTGACCACACCGACACGGGCGACGTGTCCTAACATCGAACGAATCTTTTGCTCTCTAAGCGCATCCCAAATTTGTGTATCACCATCGCTCGTTCCTACCGCCAGATATTCTCCATCCATGGACCAAGACAAGCTTGAAATGTAATCGTTGTTGCCCGTCTGCGCGAGGGACTTCACATCCCCGGTATCGGCATTCCACACATAAACATTTTGGTAAAGTCCGATCGCAACCATGTTCTTATTACTCCAATCTAGAAGATTCAGGTAATAATCATACGTCTCCGCATATTGATTGATGTGGTGGTCTTAAGTGGTGCCTTGTAGATTTTACGTAGATCCTCTTTCTGGCTCGACGGTGGCTCGACTTTGAACGACAGGATCCTCTTGTCAAGCGCAATGCCACATGCCTCGGCCAACTTTTCCTGGTATTCTAATTCTGCGCTATCCATATATTGCTCCTTTCCGGGTTCTCGGTGGTCGCCGCATCATTGATGAGATGGTTCTCCC